ACTCTGAAGTAAAACACTTATCAGACTGGCTAATGTAACAGAAAAGGAAAATGACAAATGTTGGAGAAGATGTGGGAAAAGTGGAACACTAATGAATTGTTGGTGGAGTTGTGAACTGATCCAACCATTTTGGAGAGCAATTTGGAGCTATGCCCAAAGGGCTATCAAACTGTGCATACCCTTTGATCTAGCAACACCACTACTAGGTCTGTATCCTAAAGAGGTCATAAAAAATGGGAAGGACCCACATGAACAAAAATATTTATAGCAGCTTTTTTTGTGGTGGCCAAGAATTGGAAATTGAGGGAATGCCCATCAGTCTGGGAATGGCTGAGCAAGTTGTGGTATATGAATGTAATGGAATACTATGATGAGCAGAAGGACTTCAGAAAAACCTGGAAAGACTTGTATGGACTGATGCTGAGTGAAGTGAGCAGAACCAGGAGAACATTACGCACAGTAACAGCAACGTTGTGTGATGATCAACTGTGACAGACTTAGCCAGGGGTGGGGGATCTGTGGCCTCAAGGTCACATGTGGCCCTCTACATCCTCAAGGGCAGCCCTTTGATTGAATCCAAACTTCACAGAATAGAGTCTAAGGGCTGCCCTAGAGGACCTAGACAGCCACATGTGGCCTCAAGGCTGCAGGTTCCCCACCCCTGGACTTGGCTCTTCTCAGCAATACAATGATCCAAGGCAACTCCGAAAGACTCAGGATGGAAAATGTTCTCCACACCCAGAGACAGAACTCTGGAGTCCGAATTCAGATTGAAGCAGACGATTTAGATTGGTTTTGCTTTTCTTTCTCATGGTTTTCCCCTTTGGCTCTGATTCCTCTTTTGCAACATGACTAATGTGGAAATATAACATGATTGCACATGTATAACCCATATCAGAGTGCTTGCTGCCTTGGGGAGGAGGGAGGGAGAAAACTTTGGAGCTCCAAATCTTATAAAAATGAATGTTGAGGGGCAGCTAGGTGGCACATAGAGCTCTGGCCTTAGAGTCAGGAGGACCTGAGTAACAATCTGGCCTCAGACACTGGGCACGTCTAGCTGTGTGACCCTGGGCAAGTCACAACCATAATTGCCTCACCAAAAAAAAAAAAAAGAGACCGTTGAAAACTATCTCTACCATGTAGTTGGAAAAAAATACTATTAAGTTAGAATAGAAAAAAAAAAAGAAATGGTGTGGATTAAGGACTTCTGTGCTCCCCACTCCAAAGCTCCAAGCTTCCATGATTCCCCACGACCATGTTCCAAGTCTCTTCCTCTCTGCTTCCTCCTTTGTGAAATGGGGAAGGTGGTGGGTTTAGAGCTGGGATGAACCTTGGATACTGTCCAGTAGTCCAGCCCCATCCTTTTGGAGAGAGAAAGGCTGAGGCCCAGAGAGAGGAGGAATGAGAGTCTAGGTGCAGGGCTCTGTCCTCTGGAAGCACAACCGTGCCGAGCTCTCAAGCTGTTTGGAAGAGGGAGGTCTTGTAACACCCTGAAGGACACATACAAATGTTACCCGTGAAGCTCTAGCCTCGCGATCCCAGAGGGAGCCTGACTGCATTTCCCCTTGGACTCGAGGGGCACCCTGAGGTGGTAGGAGAGTCTCTTCTTTAACATAGCATCAGCTCAAGCCTCCATTCCAGTGGACTGCCCCACCTCCCACACTGTTAGCTTCCAGAGATTCCATTTAGCCAATTAGCAATCATTAGCTCTTACAGAGACTTAGCAAGAACAGAAGCACCAACATTTCTCCTTAACCCTTGGGGATATCCTTCCCACCTTCAATCTGAGGTGAGTGTGAGGCGAGTGGACCCAGACTTAACAGTTTCTGCATAGCCCTGGTCCCATCAAGTCCATTGTCAAGTGCAACGCAGCCAATGGAGGAGTCTACATCTTAGCTATGGTGGGGTTGACCCTCAGGGCCTCGATGCTGGACTCATCATGAACCCTGGTCCTGGAGCTCCTGGCAGCTCGCTTCCAAACCCTTTCCATGTGAGGTGTCACATCCCATAGAGACTGATGATGCACAATGAATTATTCGTGTGATTTAAAACCAGCTAGACAACTCTTGGCACAATTTCCTTCTCTTTTTACCCCTGTCTCAAAATGGCAGCTCATGCAAAGGTGATGTACTAAAAGGGCCTTCAATTCTGTTGTCAGAAGGGGAATGCGGATCAACTAGACTTTTCGGATGACCCTCTTATGGCCCCTCGTGCTAGAGCACCCCCCTCTTCCCATCCTCCGTTAACACCACCTCCCCCTGCCCAGCTCCTATCTCCACTCCATTCTCCCCAGGCTGCCCCTGTTTCCCATGCCTTCCCTTTCCCTTTTCCTCTAACCCACCTCCCTTCATATCCTGCCTCGTTCACCTTCCATGTATTTCCTCCCCAGGCCCCTGCTCTAGAGGCGACCCCTACTCAGGTTTGGACAAGAGCCTTGCCTCGGCACCTCCTCCCCAGGCTCTTTACCCTGAGGCAAGGACTACCCAGGCCCCAGTCACCGTGGTATCTCCTCCCCTGACCCTCCCCCTCCTCCGGTGCCAGCTGATTTTTCCCCTTGCCAGCCGGATCCCCTGGCTTTGCAGTCCAGTCCAGTTTGGCCAGCATTCCCCAGTCCCTCATTCACAAGAAGTGAGACTTCCTATCTCCCTTCTTCTCTAGCCCCAGTGCCCACAGTGCCTTCAGGGCTTCGTCCCCTAGGGAAAGTTCCTTCTCTTACCTAATGGAACAATTAGGGTGTATGTTCTGTTCTCCATTTCAGACCTCATTCAGGTCAAAGAGAAACTGGAGCGACCCTCAGAAGATCCTACTAAGTTTACTGAGGGCTTTAGGAACTACAGTTCAAGCTTTCTTGGGGTGATTTGCATATCTTCTTCTCCACCTGTTGTACCACTGAAGAAAAAAGGAGAATCTGGGAACAGGCCCAAAACTTTGGGGACCATTTGGCTAGCAATGACCCCACAAAATGCCCCCCAGGAACAGCTACTGTTCCCACTGCTGACCCAGGATGGGATTACCAGAAGAGTGAGGAGAGGGGAAAGAGACACTACATGGTAATTTGCCAGCTAGAAGGCCTAAGAACTACATTTCAAAAGCAAGTAAATTTTCAAAAAATTAAGGAAATTACTCAGAGAGAAAAGGAAAACCCTACCCTTTTCTAAGACAGTATAGTAGAAGCTATCAAAAAGCATATGAATTTAGATCTTGACTCTGTAGAAGGGGTAACAATCCTTAGCATGTATTTCGTTAATCAGTCTGCCCCAGATATTAGAGGGAAACTGCAGAAATTGGCCCAAACACTTCAGGCCCAATTACTGGAGATGGCCTTTGAAGTTTTTAACAACAGAGACTTAGTAGCAGCAGGGGAAATAAAAAGAAGGGAAAGGGTTAGAGACAGAGAACATGCTCAATTCTTGGCTGTTGTCATGGCCAGGAAAAGACCCAAGGGTGTTCCTAGCAACTCCTGCAGTAGGAAAACCTGCTTTTGATGCCACTAGGAGGGTCACTGGTCCAAGGAGTGCCCCTCCAGGGTGCCCCCTCAGAGGAAGCCCATCAGGCAGTGAGGGCCACGAGGAGGCCCACTGATCCAAGGAACACCCCTCCAGGGCAGCCCCCCTAGAGAGAGCCCCCATGACCAATGCCTCTGGGGCCATGCCCTAGATGTGACCAGGAGGGACATTGGAGGAAGGATTGTCCCCGAGGTTGGAAAAGTGGTGGAGTTGTTCCCCAGTACCCCATCCTCCAGTCTTCTCAAGACCGGGAATGACAGGGGAGTCTGGGGCTAGGTAGCACTCCCACTTTCCCCACCTCTCTCTCCAAGCCCTGGGCAAAAATCGAAGCCAAAGGTAAGGTTACCCACTTTATGATGGCTACAATTCTCTGGGTTTTTTTGTTTTGTTTTTTGGGAGGGGGTTTTGTGAGGCAATTGGGGTTAAATGACTTGCCCAGGGTCACACAGCTACTAAAATGTCAAGTCTCTGGTCAGAGACCAGATTTGAACTCAGGTCCTCCTGACTCCAGGGCTGGTACTCTATCCACTGCACCACCTAGCTGCCCTAAGTTCTCTGTTTTAACCAATAACTCTGGCCCTCCCCTGCCCTCCACCTGTCTGGTCATGGTCATTGAAGGGAAAACTAAGGGATGTCTCCAGACATACCCCCTCCCCTGTCTATTTGAGGATCTGTTTGAATACTCCCTCCTTATGCTCTCCTCTTGCCCTGCCCCTTTGTTGGGAAGGGACCTGATGGTGAATTTGAGGAGCCAATCTTCTCGAGTTAAGCTTCCCATCTCCCTTTTCCCTCTGTGCACCAGACCTCCCCATGTTCCCCCAGAAGTGTGGGAGGAAACTGAGCTAATTGTTTGGCATCGGAATTATGTCAAGCAATTTTTTATAATTTGGTTACCGCTAAAATAATTTGGCTATTGTTGGTTATTGTTTTCATGTGCAAACTTGCCAAAAAGCTTGTTTGGGTTTTGTCTTGCTGAGAATTTGCAAGTATATAGAAATAATCTCTAACGTTGGTTTTTTATACCAGGACAAATTTAAATTTGAGATGTAAATCCTGGAAAAGTTTTTCCTAAGTTGTGGCATAATTCCCTAGGGGCTTGGGTCGAATTCTCTTGGACAGGACCCGTGTGTCATGATTTTGGGGTCCCAGTGCCCCTCAACCTCTAGATCTAATCATCTCCAAGGCCAGAGCTCTCTTGGCTGCTGTCCAACACTGCCGCATTTAAAGGCCTGGGTGACATTTGTACAGCTGCCAGCCCCCTTTCCCCCTTGTCTGCTCTGGGTTTCAAAGTCCTCCAGCCCCTTTCTCTGCCCACCAAGCTGCCCAGCTAAAGGGCAGGTGAGCCTGTGCAGCTGCTTTTCTCCTCCTGGTAGTCCGGTACACTGTGGGTCAAAGGACAGTCCTGGCCAGGGAAGGGCAAAGGGTGGGGAGTCTGGATTTTCTGCTTGACCCAAAGGTTAAGGGGCTGGGAAGAAGGAGGGCAGAAGGAGGGGCCTCCTTCATATAATGCTCTAGGCTGATCTGTGGAGCTTTCTCCTTCTTCCAGAAGCCACGACTGAGCCTCTGGATTCCCATCCATCCACGCCCCAGCCAGAAGGGACGACACTGTCTGCCAGAGAAGGACCTTGGCCCAGCCGGCTGGAGGAGGGGGCGCCATGGCTCCGAGGAAGGCCTGGGCAGTCGCAGGAGGCATGGGGGTGGTTTTAGTGGTTGCCGTAGTCCTTGCAGTCAGTCTGACCCAGGGCCGCAGCTCCCAGCCAGGTAGGAGGTGCAGGCCAGGGGCTCTTCCTGCCAAAAGCATTGTGATTGGCCCAGAGCCTTTCTTTTCCTCTCCCCAAGGCTCCCCCACCCTTCACCCCACTTAGCCTGGCTCAGGTGTCCTCCTTCCTTCCCACGATGTTCCCCAAGGTTAAGGGTGAGTGCCCAAGCTTTGCCTTAAGGGTGTCATATAAGAAGGAAGCAAAAGTACTGGCCGTTCTTGGGGTGGGTGAGAAGGCGGGGCTCCTCCCAGTCTCTCCCTTCCAGCACTAGTCCCACTGCAGCCACCTCCCTGCGGCCCTCAGAGCCATGTCCCACTCCAGCCGAGGGCTCCTTCAATGCCTTTGATCCCAGTGAAGTTTGGGCTGCTCTCTCCAGGTGTCAAAATCCCGGTTTGGGGCTCTGGATTCTCTCCCAGCAAAAGTCCTGATTGGCACACGGACCCTTTTCATCTCCTCCCCAACATTCTTGCCAGCAGAGCTTTTGGCTGTCACTATTCCTCCACCTCCCCCTTCCCAGGATGCCTCCCCCCATTCCTCCCCAGCAAGGCTCCAATTGCCTCGGCTCCCTGCCTTGACTTTCCCCACTATCCTCCCCCCTGCAATCTCCCAAATTAAAATCAGTCAAGCTCTAATTAGCTCAGCCTCCTGCCTTCTCCCTCTCCAGGATTCTGCCCAAGAGGAGCTCTGATTATCTTGGCCATACTCCTCCCCCATTCTCAATACTCTGCAAGGTTCTCCCTGGCTTAGATATCCTTCTAAGACCCTCTCCCCCTTGGAAGGATCTGATCGGCTCTGCCTCTTCCCTCCCTTTCCCAAGATTTTTTTCCAAGGAACCCCAGAATTTTGGAGTTGGAAGGGACTCCAGACACCATCAAGTTCAATCCATGACCAGGAGGAACTCCCTGTACTGAATCCTTGACAAGTGTCATCCAACCTCCAGCGAGGGGAGCCCTCCCCTCTTGAAGACCTGTAATGATGGGAAACTGACTACTTACACTTAGCTCTCCTCTTGCCCTTCCCAAGTTTTTCTCCTGGCAAAAGTTTGATTCACTTCATTTCCTTGTCCCCAGTAAAAGTTTATATAGCTTTGGGTCCCTGTCCCCAAGATTCTTCCATCCCAGCAATGACTGAGAAGAGAACTGCCCAAAGTAAGAGTGACTTCATGGCAAAGCCAAGAAAGGTGTCCTGGTCAGAAGCCAGGTCAGTGCCCCTTCCTCTTAGGATCACCACGACGGCTTCTGATCCATTCCCTTGACTAAGAACAAATGATTCACCCATTCCCAGGTTGTGAGAGCTGTCGCCCAGATGGTGACATGATGGACTACCTCCTCAGCACTGGGCATATCAGCCACAAGGACGGCCTGCTTGTCACCTGGTACCATGCCGCCAACTTCCGGAGTGAGATGGAGACAGCCCTGAGCAGTGAGGCCTGCAGTTCCCCACCCCTTAGGGGAATGAGAGGGGAGGGGGAGATGGGTTGGACCTTAGTGGAGGGATACCCCTTCAGTCAATCCCAGGACACCAAACTAGGGGAACAGAGTTAAGGGGCTCAAGGATATTCTTCCTTCCTTCCCCTGGAAAACCCCCAGCCAGTGTTTTCTCTCCTAGCCTGGTTCAAGATCCTATTTTCTGATTCTTCTCTCTTCCTACCAAGTCTCAAGAAAGACTCTGGCTTCATGCATTTAGAATCCTGTATAATAGAACATCAGAGCTGGAAGAATCCTCAGAATGGGGAATGTCAGAGCTGGGAGGGGCCTGAGAACACAGAATATCAGGAGGAAAATTAGAAGACAAAATGTCAGAAATATAGTGGGGGTGGGACGCCTTAGAACAGAGAATGCCAGGGGTGTGGGAGGGGACGGTATTCAGAACAGAGAAGGTTTGAGGTTGGGGGGACCTCAGAACGTTGTGTTAGAACACAGAATATCCTGGAGGTCAGGTGGAGTGGGTTGTTTTTCCTAGGACGGGGGAATTCTCTCCCAATAAATAGGAGGGATGACCCCACCCTGAGTGATAAGGAGGGGAGAAAGCTTCTCACTGAGGTCATAAGACCTCACTAGATTGATACTGAACTCTGGCTTAACTGCAGTGATCTTATCTCCTGATGACAAGGGGGTGCTGAGAAAGGTCGTCTTTCCTAAGAAAGGCTTGTAGACAAGCGTGAATAGGCAAATCCAGGGCCATAGAGAAGATACTGGGAGGACTGGTGACCAGCCCCCTAGCCTGGGAGTCAGGAGGCCAGCCTCTCATCTTAGCCCATCTACTGATGTGTTCTGTGATCTTGGGAAAGTCATTTCTCTGCGGGCCTCAGGGGAAAAGCTAGGGTTTGGACTCTGGGCCTTTGATGATAACATGGAAACATCTTATCATTTCTCCAAGGAAGGCAATAGAGATAAGAACTCCTAGTGGGTGGGGGAGAGATTTTCACAGAAGGGTTGAACCCCAAAGGCAGAGGGGACCTCAGGGGCCAGCTGACCTAACCTGGACTGAGCCAAGGATTCCCTTTATGTTATCAGACAAAGGATGGTCCACCAGCTGCTGAGCCCCTCCAGGGTAGAGGAGCCCACCCCCTCCTGAGGCCCATACCCTGTACCAAAGGCTCCAACTGTTATGAGGTTTTTTCTTAAATAAACCTAAATTTGCCTGTCTGTACTTCCACCCTTTGCTTCTTGTCCTGATCTGTGGGCCAAGCTGAAATCTCTCTTTCACTTCCAAAGTCTTATTACTTTCCCCCTGAGTCTTCTCCAGGCTGGGGTTAGGTGTGAGGTTAAATAACTTCCCTAGTGTCACCCAGCCAACAAATCAGAGGCAGAGCTGGAACCCAGGTCTTCTTGGCTTACCCACAATGCCAGGTCTCCTGCTCCAAGCTGAGTCTATGCTGGGTGCATGGTGTCCACTAGACACTGGTCTGCTGGCCAGCCTAGACGCACACACTCTCCTGGCTGCTCCCAGCTATGAGACACTTCTGTCTGCTCCCAGCTTCTGGCCTCAGTTAAAGTCTTCTTTCCTTGCAAGAAGAGTAAACTATATTCGGGGCAGCTAAGTGGCACAGTGGATAGAGCACCTGCCTGGAGTCAGGATGACCAGCCTCAGACACCAGCTGTATGACCCTGGGCAAGTCACTTCACCCTATTTGTCTCAGTCACTTCATCTGGAAAAAGGAAAGGGCAAACTGCTTCAGTATCTCTGTCAAGAAAACCCCAAATGAGGCCCCAAAGAGTTGAACAAGACTGTATGCACCCTTAGTTCAAAGCCAGAGACTTTTATAAATCCTTTTCTCCTCATATACACTTATCCTCCTTTAAGACCTATAAGTCTTTGAGAAAAACATCCGTGGTTGCCTCAGCCCTGGGACCAGCACCAGCTTGTCCTAGGAAAGGCCCCTTCTCAGTGTTTTTCCTATGAGGAGTGACTGCCTTGTTCCTTTCCAGAGTCTTGGATAGACGACCAGAGATTCGCTAGCCGGGGTACAGACATCAGCAGACACGAAGCAGGATCTTTCCTTCTTTGTAGCTAATGCCCGCAGGCTTCATCTTCCCTTTGGCCTGAATGTCCAGGTTGCAGGGCTTGGATCTCCTGGGAATGACCTCGATCTAGTCCAGTGGTTCTCCAATCTCTTTTGTTCTCGGTGCTAGGCCTCCAGCTATACTTGTGACAAAGAAGGATTTAAGATTCCCCTCCTCACCTTCCCATCTCTCACTTCCTCCTTTACTTGTACCACTAGATGAAGGGACTTTGTGCCTCCATGGCTCAGGCTATTCTGGAGACTTCCCTGATGCCAGGAGAGAACTGGGGGCGGAATGTAGCTGGAGCAGGGGCAGGGGCTGGGGAATGGGGAAGTCTCAGGGTGGATACACGTCCCCATTTTAATCGCTGAAGGCTTAGTTATACCTACACCCAGGCAAGTTGCCACTCACTCAGCATAGCCAGGTGGGGTCCTGGGGTTTCACAGGCCTCTGGTTTCTTAATTCCAAAAAAAATTCTTCTCTCCCATGTAGAAGAGTGGCTGGGGAAAGGCAGAGAGAAGACACTAAGCCCAGGGGCCAAAGGGCATTGTCTCAGCTAGCCTCCTAAGCACATTCCTGGCATTTCGCATCCATATACGGCCAACCAAAATGCAAGCTCACCCTGGCATCTACCAGACTCCTTTGTAACAACCCTGTGAGGTATAGAGGACAGTTATTTTTATGCCCATTTTATAGAAGAGAAAACTGAGGTCAAAAAGGAGAGGTGATTTATCCATGGTCTTATATCTAAGTGTCAGAACTGGGATATGAACCAAGTTCAGCATTTTTTTTTTCACTATATCATGCCATCTCCTTCATGGGGGCTTGTCAGTATATGAGAGTCAGTTGGGGGTTTGGGGGTAGGGAAGCCTCTCTCATTCCTTCCAAATCCCTTTCCTATGGTAGTTCATGAGGTATTCCCCTCCCCACCTCTGCGCCACTGTGTGGGCTATGCCACCATGCCTGGAAGATGCTCCCTTTTCAACTGTACCTCTCAGAATCTTTAGTCCCCTTTGAGGCTAGGTTTGGGTGCTGCATCTTGCAGGAAGCCTTTCCCCAGCTGTTCGAGGCTTCTTTCCCTCTTCCAAATGCCCTGAGTTAACTTTTCTGTGTGCACACTGTGTCCCCTAGAAGAGTGGAAGCTCCCTGGGGGCCCAGACAATTTTTCCCTTTTGTCATTGTAACCTTAGTGTCTTGCACTCAGGAAGCCTGCTCCTTCCAAAAATTTGTAAATTAAATTAAATGGCGCATAGAGTTTCTTTAGGGCAGGCGGGATCCTTGAACCACAAAAGCCAAGTCATCAGAGAGGGAGGCGTCTTTGTAGGGTTTTTTCTTATTCAGTTGTGTTCTGCTCTTCTTTTTTTTAAAATTTTTTTTTTAGGCAATTTGGGGTTAAGTGACTTGCCTAGGGTCACACAGCTACTAAGTGTCAAGTGTTTGGTCTGAGGCCAGATTTGAACTCAGGTCCTCCCGACTTCAAGGCCGGTGCTCTATCCACTGTGCCACCTAGCCGCCCTTGTCCTACTCTTCATGACCCTGTTTGTGGTTTTCTTGGCAAAGACTTGGTTTGCTATTTCCTTCTGCAGCTCATTTGACAGATGAGTAAACTGAGGAAACAGGGATACGTAACTTATCCAAGGTCATGCAGCTAGTAAGTGAGGCCAGATTTGAACTCAGGTCTTGACTCCTGGTGGGTCATGCTATCTACTTAACCACCTAGCTGCGCAAAGGGCTGTTGGTGGCCATCTAACCCAACCTCCTCATCTTACAGAGGGGGAAACTGAGGCCCAGAGAAATTTTTGTGAGAAAGTATGGATAATAGCAGAACCTACCCTCTTGGGAAGATGTGAGGATCAAATGAGGTGATATATGTGAAAGTGCTTTGTAAACCTTAAACCTCTCTGTATGTTCACTATGAAGTGACTTGCCTGGAGTCACAAAGCTAGAAAAGGTCAGAAGAGGGATTTGAATCCGGGTCTTTCTGACTACAAGTCTAGCCCACTGCCCCATACATCACATTGCCTCTCAGGGGATCTTGGCTCTATGTTGTATAAGAAATTCAGACTGGTTAGGAGGAGTAGATGGAACCCAGAAGATATTTGTGGGAGCAACCGAACCTCTTAAATCCCACATCCTGCCCAGGTATAGGGCCAGCCGTCTAGCCCCCATTTCAGCAGTCCTCCCTGATCAGCAAAGGTATTCAGGGTTGGGGGGATTGTCAAATGGGGGCAGGGAGCTATGCCCCTCTTTGCTACTCTTCTTCCCCCTTGGGACCTAGGCGATGTCATGGTATTGGAAGCGGATGTCAATGTGGAAGGACTGAACACAGAGAATGAGACGGGCGTCCCGATCATGGCCCACCCCCCTGCCATCTACAGTGACAACACCTTGGAACATTGGCTGGAAGCTGTATTGACCAGATCCATAAAAGGTAAGGGCCCTGGCCTCTTAACCCAGTGCCTGGCACATAGGAGGCACTTCATACCTGCTGATTGATTGATTGTCCCTGGAGTTTTGAATGCTCTGATATCATCCCCACGCGGTCTACTGGAAAGAGCTTGGCTGGAGAGGCCGGAATCCCGAGTGCTTCATAAGACTGTAGAAGACTTTTAGAAGTCTGCAGCTGAGGAAAAGTGGGGTCCAGAGATATTAGGGGACTTGTCCATGGCCACAAGAGAGAAAAAGGAAGCTGCTGCTTTTCCACAACATAACATTTTGTTTCTGGTTCTATCCTTAAATTTCTGTATAAGCCTCTATTCTTTCATCTTTAAGATGGAGACAACACCTGCAAATGAGAGAATCTGGTGAAAGTTATTTGTAAGCCATAAAGCATAGTACTAGTACAAGGAGTTATTGGCATCCTACTGACAATGGACTCCTTATAATCAAGCCTTACTGTCTGGCCTCCTCTATGTCAGAGTTGGGTGGGGCCTGAGAATATAGAACATAGAACGGCAGATCTATGTTAACATAGTACTTTAAGGTGTATGAAACACTTCATTTATATTATCTCATTATGTCTTCACCATAGTGCAATGAGGTAGTTACTACAAGTACAGTTATATACACTTTACAAACAAGGAGACCGAGGCTTAAAGAGTAACCTGCCCATGGCCTTACACAATGCCAGGGAAGGGATTTGACCTCAGGTCCTCGGATTCCCAGTCCAGTTTTCTCTTCACTACTTTACTCTCCAGAATGGAGCATTTCAAATTCTCAACCCTCCCGAGCCCTTCCAGACCTTCTCTGTGTTCTTTGCCAGGCATCAAACTGGATTTCAAGAGCATCCAAGCAGTTGGCCCTTCTCTGGATCTCTTGAGGAAGCAGACAGAGGACGGGAGGGTCCAGAGGCCTGTGTGGATCAATGCCGACATCCTGGATGGCCCCAACGTGCCCATCCCAGCTGCTGTCAATGCTACGCAGTGAGTCAGTGGTTCCTCTCTTCTCTGAATGCATCGGGAGTCTTGGCTGGACCTCTCTCCTTCCCTTCCCCTCCCCCAACTCTAGACCATCAGCCCACTGGCACAGGTACTCAGGGAAGGCTCAGGGGGCTGAATGAGCACACAGGAATTCAGGTGCTCGCTCGGCCTTCCTTGGTGAGTAACCTCCCCCAGTTCCCTTTTGTGTGGTGTCTTCTGTCTTTAGAATGCAATTGCCTGAGCATAGGGACTGGTTTTATTTATTTTTTTTGGATTTGCATTTCTAGTGCTTAACACAGTCCCTGCCATGTTGTGAGTGGTCAATAAATGTTCTGTCTGTCTATCTTTATCTGTCTATCCACGTATCCATCCATCCATCCATCCATCCATCTATTTCTCTCTCAGAGGTACAGACCGAGTTTGAAGGAGACTCTAGTTCAATTCAATAAGCACTTATTAAGTACCTACTGTATGTAAGGCACAGTGAATATGAAGACAGAATTGAAGCCTTCTCTTCCCTCAAAGAGCTTATATTCTCTGTGGGAAGGGATGGGGAATGAGAGACGTGAGATAGAGGTAGACAAGGAAATACAAGGTAATGTGAGCTGGGGAAAAAAATGGGTCAGAGCAATTGCTTGTTTCTTGATATCAGATACAAGACTGAGTGATCATATAATCATAGAATTTAGGGATTTAAGGCTGGCAGAGACCTTTGATGCCATCTCCTTCCCCCCCCTCTATTTTACATAGCAGGAAACTGAGGCCCAGAAGGGCTAAACAACCAGCCCAAGGTCATGTGTCATATAGATAGGAAGCAGCAGTGACAAGATTTGAACCCAGACCCCCTGAATCCAAATAAAAGCTCCTTCCAAACCCATAAACTCCCATGAATCAAATTTAATTCAATAGACATTTATTTATTTAGTCCCTGCTGTGTGCTAGACACTGTGCTAGGTGCCCAAAGATAAAAATCAAATATTTCTTGCCTTCAAAGAGCTTACTTTCTGTCAAAGTAAATATAGTGAAAAAAAACACTGGTTCTGAAGTCAGAAAATCTGGGTTCAAATTCTACCTCTGATGGTTGTATGACCTTACAAAAGTCACATAACTCTCCCTGTGCCTCAGTTTCCTTACCTGTCCAATGAGGACTGGAGGACATTATTTTTTCCACCCTGACAAGCTACTGGTTTCCTCACTAACCAAATTTCTAAGGCCAACAGAGGAAGGTTGGGGCAATGACCACTCTGCTTCCTCAGCATTCCATCCACAAATCTTTACTGGGTGCCTACCACGTGCCCAGACCTGCCATAGCCAAGTAATTGCTATCTATTTGCAAAGTGCAGTTTGAGTTCGTTCCTGGAAAATAAGGTAAAGAGGCTTCAGGGGCGTCATTCGATTTTCTTATGTTCTCAGGGAGAATGAAACGCTCCTTGAAAAAAGTGGAGGAAGGACTTCTAGGTAAAGGAAAGACATTTTAGGAAGGATCTGATTCTATGCAAAGAAAAGAAGAAAAGGACCTGAAAAGGGAAAAGGCTATCTCTACTAATGTCCGGAGGTCAGAGAAGGAAAAAAACACCAGAAACATTGAAGCTGATGAATACATCTGGGGCTCTTTATGGAAGGACTGGAAGGACAGCTGGACCCTCTAAGAAGGGAGCACCAGCCTCTCACGCTCTAAGGAAGGATGGGGTGGATTCCCAAAATCAATCAGGGGAGAGATCAAAGGAGGAGAGCCTATCAGTGACTGTCAACCAGACAACCAAGAGAGGTCCAGCAGGGTCCCAGAGAATGTATGCTAGAGGTGGGGGGGTGGGCATCTGAAGACATTTCAGTGACTCGCCTGAGCATAGCAACAGATGGTGGAAAGCTAAAGGTGATGGTCAAAAATCAGAAGACCTAAGGCAAGAGCTTCAGAAAAGGCAGATTTGTGAAGTGAAGGATTAGTTAAGAAGATGGTATCTGAAGATGATGAGATTTTGATCTCTGAATTATAATTTAAGATATAAGAGTGATGGACTCTTGACCAGGGATGGAATACCCCTAACAAGGTCTGGTAAAATACATTATTTTGGAGTTTTGTAAACACAATCAAAATCACTCTATCAACCAACAAGCTCTCTGTTGCTATGGGCCAGGCATTGTCCTAGGTGCTGAGAACAGTCCACAAGCAGCTACTATGTGTCAAACACTAGAATACAATACAAAAAAGGGCGAAAAAAATCCCTCCTCTCATGGAGCTTCTACTCAATCAAGACATATAGAGTGTTGCATAAACATTTATTGACTGATGTGTTCATATACAATTGCACTCAGAATAAATAGATATAGGATAACTAGGAAAGAAATACAAGGTAATTGAATCAGTGGTAGTCAGGGAGGGAGGAAACTAGCATTTGGAGGGATCAGGAAAGGGAGAACTGGATGGTTGAGCAGATGGGAGGATCAAGCATGGAGGTAGAGAGTGGAAAGGACAACTGAGATGGGAGGTGGAACATCAAGCGTGAGGAAGAGAAAGACCAGTTTAGCTAGACTACAGTAGAGTGGAGAAAGGAGGGCAATATATTGTGAGGATGAAACTATACATCGGGGCCAAGTTGTAAATGGAGTTAGATAGTCAACAAACATTTATTAAACACCTACTATGTGCCCGGCACCGTGCTAAGATAGAGATACAAACAGAAGCAAAAAGAAACGCTATCCCTGCCCTCAAGAAGCTTACATTCTACTGGGGGAAACAGCACATAAAAGGAAGCTGAGAAATAGGGGTGGGTGACCAGGGGAAGGGGGTCACAGTGGAAGAAAAAAGTCCAGAAAGTCAGAAGCAGGGCCCAGAGAGGAGCTGCGTGTCACAAATGGCTTGAGAGTTTTCATCTGGAGGTTCCAAAAGGAAATGACCATTCACAGGAAGGGGCCACAGGGGCAGAGGGATCTGCCAGAGCAAGAAGGCTGCTGGGAGGAAAAGAACATTTCATGCATTAAAGGGCAAAAAGATGCCCTTCCTCTCCCCCATCCTCTAAGGGTCAGACTTGCCCAGGATTGAATCTGGCCTTGTCTCTAGTCCAGAACCAGGGGTCCTTGTGGGAAAGGAGACCCTCTTTGGGATGTAAATATTACAAAAGTAAATACAGAATTAATGGGGGTAGGGGAAATATCCACAGCTGGAGGGGGGGGTATCAGGAATGACCTCACATAAGAGGTAGCACTTGTCCTGAGGTTTGAAGGGGCTCAAGGTTTTCCAGAGGAAAAGATGAAGGAGAGCAGATCAGGAATGGGAGGTGAAGGAGGGACATCCTCACTGGTTTAAAAACAGAGAAAGCAGGAGATAAATGCCCCATATGCAGAAGGACACGTAGGCTAGATTAGCTGGGTTACAGAAGGCACAGAGGAGAACACCAGATTGTGAAGGGCTTGAAATGTCAGACAGGGATTTGGACTTGACCCCAGAGGCAACAGAGAGTCACTGGAGCTTCTGGAATGGGAGAGTGATGCAGCCAGACTCAGGTTTTAGAGAATTTGAAAATGGAGTAGAAGGGGAGACACTGTGAGTGCAGGGCTCTCAGTTAGGGGCTTTTGCAATAATCCAGGTGAGAAGGAGATGAGGGCCTCCACCAGGGAGGTGACCTTAGTAGGAGAGAGGAGGGCATGGATGCAAAGGATGTCATGTAGATGAAATGAATAGGACGTCAACTGGGTATAGAGGTGCTTTGTGGCACAGTGCCTGGAACATAGCAGATGCTTAATAAATGCTTCCTTCCTTAACCTCCTTCCTTCCTTTCTCCCTTCTCTAACTTCCTTCCTTTCTAATTCCCCTACTTCCTTTTTTCTTCCTTGCTTCCTCCCTTTTTTCCTTCCTTTCTGAATTTCTTCATTCTTTTCCTCTTTCCTTCCTTCTTTTCTTCCTCCCTTCCTTTCTTCCTAACATCCTTTCTTCCTTTCTTTTTTCCTCCATTCTTCTCTTTTTTCCTTCCTTTCTGATTTGCTTTGTTCTTTTTCCTTCTTTCTTTTCTTCCTTTCTTCCTAATATCCTTCCTTCCTTTCTTTTTTCCTTCCTCCCTAACTTCCTTCTTTCCTTCCTGACATCCTTCTTCCTTTCTTCCTTCTTACTGTACAATAGGTAAGGGAGAGTGAAGGGTTGAAGATGACTTAGAAGTGGCTAGCCTGAATAAACAGAAGGATAGTGATGCTCTCAGAAGAAAGAAGGAAGTTGGGAGTAGTATCTGTTGGCCAAGCTGAGGCACCTGGTTGTGCTTGGAGTCAGAAAGACCTGAGTTTAAATCCCCCCTCAGACACTTGCTATCTCTGTGGTCCTGGGTAAGTCACTTAACCTCTGCCTCAGTTTCCTCAACTGTAAAATGGGGATGTTGTGAGGATTAAATTAAATGATATTTATAAAGCATTCTGCAAACCTTAAAGTATTATACATATGCTAACTATTATTGTTGAATTGGGATATGAAAGTGAAGAATATATATTATTTATATTACTCTCTGGACAGCAGTTAGTTGGTAATGCAGGACTTTATCTCAGAAGAGAGATGAGGGTTGGACATGTTAGCTTGGGAATATTTTAATAAAAGTGAGAATAACACCAACTAAAACGGACATAGCAATTTAAAGTTTGCAGAGAACTTTACACACAGTAGCTCATGGGATCCTCACTACAACCCTGGGAGGAAGATTCTATTATTGTCCCCATTGTACAGTTGAGAAAACTGACTCTGAGTGTAGCTGAGTGACTTTCTCATGGTCTCACAGTCAGTAAGTAACCAAAGCATGATTTGAACTCAGGACTTCCTGATTCCAAGTCCAGTATTCTACCATTGCGAACCCACAGGTCTTGATGGGATTGCCAGCAGGTTGGTGAAGGGACACATAGGGAGTGTGATGCTCCTGCTGAAGAATGTGGCAGGACATTGCAGAGAGGTGGAAAAAGGTGAAGACTGAGAGAATTATTATAACAAAGAAGGAGCCGAGGCTCAGAGAAAGTAAAAGTCTGGCCCAAGTTTCAAGTGTTGTCTGCTTCTCTTCCTAGGTTTCTGTCCCTGGTCCAAGAAAAGTACCCTGATGCCACCCTGTCTGTGGGCTGGACCACTCTCTACTCCTCCTTCACTCCCAACAGTACCTATACCCAGGACATGATTGAGAAGATGCACAGTCTGGTGGAGGCCCTGCCACAGAAAGTGACCTTCCCGGTGCGGGCCGTCATGGCGAGAGCTGCCTGGTCCCATTTTAGCTGGCTCCTGAGTCAGTCTGACAGGTGAGAGGTGGATGCCCTCTAGCAGCACAAAGATCGATTAGTTAATCCATAAACATGCATTAAGTGCCTACTGTGTACTAGGTACCGTACGAAGCACTGGGGACATGGGCAGAGAGCAGAACTGCTGGTCACTCTCACTGTCAACTCTGTGTGGCAGGTGATGCAGCAGACCTGGCCACAGCAGGGCTGCATGGCACTACCACTGCTGGCCAGTAGGGGCAGTGTGTAGTTAAGCTGTCAGAGGTGGATGGCACCTCAAGATGTTTGCAAGATGAATGACAGATCCAGGTAAGCCTGAGGGTGCATGGCCACATCCTCTGGACTCCCTAGAAAACCGCCCTGACAGGAAACGTTTCTATGAGTGTCTACTTCTCTTGATTCATGGAAAGGCAGCCAGGATGGCTCTGTGTCCCTTTCTCCCTCGGGCCTTTGGAAAAATCATCTCTAACAAGGCGCTTGGCTGGCAGTCCCACAGTTGGCATCCTGAGAGGCAGCACGGGGTAGTGGCTAGAGAGCTGGCGTGAGCCTGGGTTCGAGTCTTAACTCTGGATGATGATGATGGTGGTGGTGGTGGTGATGATGATGGTGGTGGGGGTGATGAAGATGCTGCTGCTGCTGATGCTGCTGCTGCTGATGCTGACTGAGGGGAGTGATGAAGATGATGCTGCTGGTGATGATGATGGTAATGGTGGGGGGGTGGTAGTGGTGGTGATTTTAACAATACAATGAAGATGAAACATTGGAGCCAAGTTGTGAAAGACTTTAAGCAGTCAGTCAACCAGCATTTCTAAGGTGCCTACTGTGTGCCAGGCACCATGCTAAGATGGAGATAGAAAGAAAGGCTCTCAAAGAGCTCACAGTTAAAAGCAAAATGGAGGAATTTACATTTGATCCTGGAGGCAATAGGGAGCCAGTGAGGTTTATGGAATAGAGGAGTGATATGGTTAGATCTTCAGCTCCTGCTGCTGCTGTGGCTAGAATTTATAAAGTACCTTAAGAAATATTCATCCACTGCATCCTGGACCATCCTGTCATCTTGACTTTTGTCCTGCCATTGAACTTTGATGACTTTGGAAGAGAGAGTGAGGCTCACGGCTTTGTGCAGCTCTGCCTCACTTAAATCCAATTCATGTGAGAATTAAGACATCACCCCATGATGTCATTTGTAAGCTTGAAAATTATTTTACAAGGGGCAGCTAGATGGTGCAGTGGATAGAGTGCTGGCCCTGAAGTCAGAAGGACCTGAGTTCAAATCTGGTCTTAGACCAAACACTTGACACTTACTAGCTGTGTGACCCTGGGTAAGTCACTTAACCCCAATTGCCTTAAAAAAAATTATTTTACAAATGTCTCATTTGATCATCACAACAACCCTTGGAGGTATTACAGGCATTATTATCCCTATTTCACTCATGAAGAAACTGAGGCTCAGAGCCATTCACCTATTGTCACATAGCTAATAAATATTGAAGCTGGGACTCAAATCCAGGTCTCTCCTGATTCCAAGACCCGCATACTCTCCAGTACATCACATTGACCCCATAACCACTGGGGTAAGGTAGAGAGCCTAGGGCACAACACATTGGATGGAGTTGGATTGAATTGGAAGGGGGCCCAAAGGCTCAGTTATACCACTGTATGACTGGCTGTGTAACTTGGGCAAGTCATTTAGGTTGCTTATAAGTCAGTTTCCCCATCAGTAAAATGGTTGGTACCATCTACCTAACTCTTCATGGGTCTTTTTTTTTGGAGACCCTCCCAGCTCTGCTTCCTCCCCCACCTCCACTGTCAGAGATAGGCCTCCACACAAGGTAAGCACACTTTGGCTTAGCAACCTGTGGTGCTGCAATCTGCCCCTGGGGTATTTGACATGTGGTTAGAAAAAAGATTTGTGAGGCTACAGAGAGAGTGAATTTGTCAGGGCTCTGGAGGAGGATCATAGCATCAGAGATTTAGAGCTGGAAGGGACCTAGTCCAACCTCCTTATTTTACAGATGGGGAAATAGAGGCCCAGAGAAGTGTCCAAGGTCACACAGGTTGTACATGTCAGGGGCAGGATTTAAACCCAGTTCTTCAGACTCCAATACCATGTTCTTTCCGCTGTAGAATACATAGGAGGCACCATACATCATTGGCCAACTCTCAGTTTCCTGCCACTCAGGATTAATTTTTCCACCTTTGGCTCTATACTCACTCATACCCAATCTAATCCCAAATGACCTCAGAGTCTAATTGCCTAGTCCATTATAGAATTGCCTACCCATGCTTGGAAAATAATTCCCTCTACAACAGCAATAAATAAATGAATGCATCAATAATCATAATAACTAGAATTTTTAGAGTACTTTAAGGTTTGCACAGCTCATTACAAACCTGTCTCATTTGATCTTCACAACAACCTTGTGAAGTAGGGGCCATGACTATGCCCATTTTATAGATGTGGAAACTGAGGCTGAGAGAGGTTAAATAACTTGTCCAGATTAAAATGCTAGGGAGTTTCTAAGGTGAGATTCGAGCCTACAGCTTGGGGGTGGCCCAGATGGCCTCTGCGGTCCTTGCTAGGTCTAGCGCTAGGATCCTCAACATGTGGTCATCTGGCCTGTGCTTGAAGACTCTCAGTGATGGGGAAGCCAAAGACCTCCTAAGGCCATCCATTCCACTTTTGGATAGCTCCATTCATCGGGAGGCTTTCTTTGCTTTGAGATAGAATTAGCTTTTTTTCAACTTTCATTCATTGCTCCTATGTCTGCCCTCCAAGGGCAAGCAAATAAATCTAAAAATGTTTGATGGCTGACATCATATCCTCTGGAGTCTTTTCTTCTCCACCTTAAACATCCCCAGACCCTGGGCCATTCTGATTGTCCTTCTCTGGACCATCCCCAGCTTTCCCCTTCTCTGCCCTAAATCCCCTTGGCCAGAGTTAGGGCCTATTGTCTTCCTACTATATATGAGTCCTGCTCCCTTACCAGAACCAAGAGTCAACTCCAACAATACAGGCCGATGTGGGGACTCTTGTTCTATCTGACCCTTCAAGACAGAGAGAGCAGGAGAGAGGCGCCTATAGCTTTGGGGATCCATAATTCCTTTTGTTTGCACAGAATTTTTCCCAAACAAGCCATGCTTGTCTGTGAGACTGGCGGACTAGGCACTATTGCCCCCATTTCATGGAGGTGGAAACTGAAATTCAGAAAAGTAGAGAGACCTGCCCATGGTTACCCAGCTGTGGTGGAGATAGGATTCAGACACAGCTCTTCTCACCATGAATTCAAAGTCCTCTCTGTACTGGGGCTGGTCACTGAGAATTGAACACACCAGGAAATCTTCAGCTATTGCATCAAGATCTGTTTAGAAGGCACCCGGGGCTCGGCCTCAAGACAGTTGGCTTCTAATCTCTGCTCTGCCAACTTTCTAGCTGTGACCTTGGCTAAGTTACTCCCATCTTTGGGACTCAGTCTCCTCATCTGTCGAATGTGGCACTCCTTACCACACACAGTGGTTGTGAGGAAACACTTAGTAAGCTATACATGCTTTATAAATGTGAACTATTACAGTTACTGCCAAATTCCATCCATCTTAAGCCTGGCTCAAGTGCCATGTATTCCCTCAGTGAAGTCTTTCCCACTTCTTGCCCTGCTCCCAACTTATGGGGATCTCTCCATCTGAGCCTCCATAGTTCTTTAAAAATGTTTACTTGATACTTTCTGTCTCTATATCACCTTAATTTCTGAATATATCCCTTTTCCTCCCCACCTAGCAAGCCCTCTCTTGTAAACGAGAAGAAAAAGAAAAGGAGAGGAAGAGAGAGAACTCCAAGTAAAACTAACACATTAATGAGTCTGATAATATATGCAGTACTCCACATCCATAGCCTCCCACCAAAGAAGGGAAAGATGTATTCTCTCATCTCTACCTCTGTTACTTTGTGAGTAATCACTAGGCAGGTGGAATAGATGAGCCCAGCTGGGGAAGCACAGGGAGGCACCTAAGGTATATATAGTGGAAGGAGTTCTGCATTTACTTCCAGGTAGAAAACCTGGCTCTGCCATTTGCTGGCTATGTGTCCTATGGGCAAGCCACCTCCTCTCTCCAAGGTTAAGTTTCCTCATCTGTAAAATGGGGATAATTGTACTTCCTCCTCCAGGAGCACCAGCTGAGGACAGAAATGTGAGCTGTCCACTTCAGCACTCCACAGCCAGGAGCCAGGTTCCTTTGGTGTGGGCTTCTGAGTGAGAGGACTCTGTGGTTGATGTAGATCTCTCCTGGCTCCAGGTATAGCCTGACCCTGTGGCAGAGTGCCTCGGACCCCGTGACTGTGGACGACCTTCTTTACATACGGAAAAACAGTGCCATACACCAAATCTACTATGACCTTTTTGAGCCCATCCTGTCTCAGTTCAAGCAGCTTGCCCAAAAGAGGTCTGGCTCATCCAGGGGCTGACCTCACAAAAGGCAAAGGTCTGAGGGCTGGAGAAGAGTGGGCCCTGGGGCCCTGGAATCACTTGTCAACCCATCACAAAGTAGGGGGGATTCTCCACCATCTCCCAGGAAAATCAGGAGGCATCACAGAGTTTCAGAGCTAGAAGAGACCTCAGTGGGTATGAAGTCTGGTCCATCCCAACATAAGAATCACTTCTCCAGAGTCTCTGTTATCTAATCATTCCATATCCTTTATATGTATCTTGTATCTACTTCAGCATTGACTTCTGGTCTCCCCATTAAAATGTAAGCTCCTTGAGGGCAGGAATTATTTTTTGCCTTTCTTTGTAGCCACAGCACTTAGCACAATGCCTGGTACACAGTAGGCACTTAATAAATCCTTTTTTGACTGATTTATTAGACTGTTCTTGATGTCATTGATTATTAGGACATTATTCCTTACAGAAATCCTAATATTGACTCTCTAAAAACTGCGCTCCACCCCCCCCACCTCTTTGCTCCCAGGTAGAACTAGGATTCCACCCTTCAGAACTAAGGAGAGACAGTTTAATCCTTTTACAAAATTCCAAATATTTGACACAACTATTCTTTTTTTTGTTGTTTGTTTGGTTTTTTGGTGAGGCAATTGGGGTTAAGTGATTTGGCCAGAGTCACACAGCTGGTGAATGTTACATGTCTGAGGCTGGATTTGAGCTCAGGTCCTCCTGACTCCAGGGCCAGTGCTCTATCTACTGCGCTGCCTCACTGCCCCCGAACACAATTATTCTTGAGTCTTCAGATTTATGTTCAATAGTACTTTATAATTTGTTCAGCCATTCCACAACTGATGGGCATCCCCTCAGTTACTGAGTCTCTGCCACCACAAAAGGAGCTCTTACAAATATTTTTTGTACATATGAGTCCTTGCCCTTTTTCTTTGAACTATTTGGGGTATGGAAAGAGAATTGGTGAACTCTGGATGCAGATTGAAAAAATACTTTTAAAAAATTTTTCTACTTTTCTTGTTTTGTGTGTATGTGTGTGTGTGTGTGTGTGTGTGTTTTACAACATGGCTACCATGGAAATATGTTTTGTATGACTTCATATATATGTTTGACATCACATTGTTTACCCTCTCTCCTATTGTCATTACAGATAATGTTGACTCTTAGTTTTAAATAGAGACTACTTATCATTCTAGGTGAAGTACCATTTATTCTTATATTTTTGTTTTGTTTTTTAAATAGGAGTACATGTTGTATCTTGTCAAAAGCTTTTTCTGCACCTCTTGATGTTATCATATTAATTTTATTTCTTTTGTTATTAAGACAGCTAAAGTGGCAGGAGAAAGGAGAGAATTTGGAACAAAAAAAATTAAAATGATGTTTAAAAATATTTAATGTAATTGGGAATATTTAATGAAACAGATAAAAATATATTTTACAAAAGAAAAAAACATAGTTTGAGGTGTGGTAATGCTCAGTCTCTAGGTGGCTCAGTGTGATGAGCTCTGGGCCTGGAGTCAGGAAGATCTGAGTTCAAATTGGACTTCAGACACTCACTAGCTGTGTGACCCTGGGCAAGTCACTTAACCTCTGTTTGCCTAATCCACTGGAGTAGGAATAACAAAGCATCTTTGCCAAGAAAACCCCATACAGAGTCATCTACCTTCCCACTTTTTTTCATTAATTTCCTTGATACTATTGACCTTTTGTTCCTCCAGATGAATTTTTTTTTATAATTCTAGAAAGTAATCTTTTAGTAATTTGACTGGCATAGCACTCAGTAAGTAAATTAATTTAGGTAGTATTAATGCTTTTATTATGTTGGCTCAGCTGCCCATAAGCAATTAATATTTCTCCACTTATTTAGGTCTGTCTTTATTTGTATAAACAGTGTTTGGTAATTACATTCATATGGTTCTTGTATGTGTCTCAGCAGTAGACTCCAAATGCTTGTTCCATCTGTACTTATTTAAATGTTATTTCTCTTTCTATCTTTTCCTGCTGGATTTTGTGGGTAATTTATGGAAATGCTGATGATTTCTGTGGGTTTATTTGCTATTCTGCAACTTTGTGGAAGTTGTTAATTGTTTGACATAGTTTTCCAATTGACCCTCTGGAGTTCTCTAAGAAAACTATCATATCACATGCAAAAAAGTGATCATTCTGTGCACTCTCTTTGCCTATGCTTATTCCTTCAATTTCTTTGCTTTTGTCTTATTATTATAGTTAGACCCATACTGAACAATAATATTGATAAAGGACGTCTATGCTTTGCCTGTGATCTTATTGGAAAGGCTTCTATCCCCATTATGGATAATATTGACTTTTGGTTTTAGATACAGACTACTTACTATTTTATGGAAAGCATCATTTATTTTTATGCTTTCTGTTTTTTTGTTTTGTTTTTAAACAGGAATAAGTGTTGTATCTTGTCAAAAGCCTTTTCTATATCTCTTGATAGAATTGCATGATTTTTATTGTTTTTATTATTAACATAGTCAAATATATTTATACGTTTTTTGTGGGGTTTTTTTTTGCTTTTTGTAAGGCAATCAGGGTTAAGTGACTTGCCCAGGGTCACACAGCTAGTAAGTGACATGTGTCTGAGACTGGATTTGAACTCACGTACTCCTGACTCCAAAGACAGAGCTCTATCCACTGTGCCACCTAGCTGCCCCTATAGGTTTTTTCCTAATATCTAACAGCCCTGCATTCCTAGCATAAATCCAGCCTTCTCAGAGTGTATGATCTTTGTAACATGTTATTGTAGTCTCTTTGCTAATATATTATTTAAATTTATGCATCAATATTCATTAGGGAAATTGGTCTATAGTTTTCTTTCTGTTTTGATTCTCCTTGATTTAGGTATCAAGATGATACTTGTGTCATAAAAAGAATTTGGTAGGACCCATTCTTTACCTATTTTTCCATCATTTATGTAGTATCTGAATGAATTGTCCTTTAAATATTTGGTAGCATTCGCTTGTAAATTCATCTGGTCCTGGTTTTTTTTTCTTTAAGTCTTCATTTATGATTTGTTCAATTTCTTTTTCTAAGATAGGGTTATTTAAGTATTCTACTTCTTATTCTGTTAACCTGGGCAATTTATATTTGTGTAAATATTCACCCATTTCATTTAGATGATTAGTTTTATTGGCATGTAGTTAGTAAAATTGCTTCTAACAAATTTTTTCTGTAAGTTATGAATCCACCTTTTTCTTTTTGGATACTGGAAATTTTGTTTTATACTTTCTTTGTAAAATCAAGCTAACTCGTGACTTAACTATTTTATTGAGTTTTTTCCAAAAAGAAATCTCTCAGTTTTGTTTACTAATTAGCGGGGGTGGGAGGAGGAGGAAGGTGCCTTCAATTTTGTTAATCTCTTCTTTGATTTTCAGAATTTCTATTTTGGTGTTTAATTGAGTTTTTAAAATTTTATTTTCAAGTTTTTTTTAGTTGCATACCCAATTTATCTACTGTTCTTCCTTCCTTCCTTCCTTCTTTCCTTCCTTCCTTCCTTCTTTTCTTTTTCAATTCACTCAAGTGTCTGTGTGTGTGCATGTGTGTGTGTGTGTGTGTGTGTGTGTGTGTGTGTGTGTGTGTGTATTTTTCTCCTAAGCATTACTTTGGTCGATTGGAAAAATTTTGGTATGCTTTCTCAATGTTGTCATTATCTTTAATGAAATTATTGATTATTTCCATAATTTATCCCTTGACCCACTCATTCTTTAGGATTGAGTTATTAAACTTCCAATTAATTTTAAATCTTTGCTTCACAGGCCTTTTATTCAACCTAATTTTATTGCATTACGGTAAAAGATATATTTGGTACTTCTGCTTTTCTGAATTTGTTAGTGAGGTTTCTATGCCTTAGTATATGGTCAATTTTTTGTGAAGGTGTCATGCATAGCTGAGGATAGATTTAATTTCTATCCAATTCAATATTCTATACCTCAATATTTCCATTCAGTATTCCCAGAAGTCTATCGTATCTAATTTTCATAAAATTCCATTCAGATCCTTCATTTATCTTTTGCTTATTTTTGGTTAGATTTATCCAGGTGTGAGGGGTAAATCAAGATTCCTTCACTTTTGTGGTTTATTTCTTCCTGTAACTAATTTTTTCCTTTAAGAATTTAGATGTTATGCCATTGGGTGTATATATGTTTGGTATTGCATTATTACAATTAATTAATTGCAATCATTGTCTAAAGCACTTTTCAGCAAAATGTAATTTCTCTGTTTATTTCTTTTAATTAAGTGTATTTTTGTTGTTGCTTTGTCTGAGATCATTACTTCTACCCCTGTTTGTTTGTTTGTTTTACTTTAGCTGAAGTGTAATAGATTCTGCTTCAGCCCCTTATTTTCACTCGTGTATTTTTCTATTTCTAGTATAAAAAGACGCATTGCTAGAGTCTAGTTTCTAAGCCATTCTGTTATTCTCTTCCATTTTGTGGGTGAGTCCACACTATGCACATTCACAGTTGTTTATTAATTGTTTGTTTCCCTCCTTATTCTCTTGTACTTTTCCTTCTCAGTACTTAAGAACTTGTTTTGCTTCTAACTAATCTCTTCCTTAATATACCTTCTCTTCTTTCTGCCCCCTTTCCTTAACTCTTTCCCCTCCTGTTTCCTTCTTTAGGCTGCACTGCTATTTCATCTACCACAGGACTTTTTCTACCATACAGTAGAAACATTTTTCACCCAGGAAGATCTCTCTACCCCTGGCTTACTTCTCACATTGGGAGCAGCCACCACCTCTGAGGCCTCACCCACTGCTTGGTTGATTCCTGCTAGAACCTCTTCATCCTTTGCAGGTTATACTGCTGACTCATCTCCACAGTACTTTCTCTACTGTGTTCCCTCACCAGATATCTTCTTCTCCCATCACCCCCAAACCCTACACTTTTTAGCTCCCTTTTACATGTTATCTTCCCTCTTTACAGGTAAGCTCCTTGAGGGCAGGGAGTTTCTTTATGCTTATGTATTTTCAGTTTTTAGCACAGTTCCTGGTATGCCCATTCACCCACTCCTTCTTCCTTGTCATATAAACATATATTTGTGCTTCCCATTTGTG